ACTTGTCTTCTAATAATTCATTAATAAAAAAGTAATTTAATTAATTTTATAATTATTGATAATTTATATTTATAAAATATGAAATTCCGTTCCAATTCAAATCTATCAAACCAAACACATTAAAAATTTCAAATTATTCCAATTCTATCTTTTTATAAAATCTAAATCTTTCAAAATCGTTACAAGGATTCCTCTAGTAACGGCGAGCGAACAGAGAACAACCCAGCTTGAAAATCAGGCGGCCTCGTCGTCCGAATTGTAGTATGGAGAAGCGTCCTCAGCGGCGGACCGGACCCAAGTCCCCTGGAAGGGGGCACCGGAAAGGATGAGAACCTCGTCGTACCCGGACCCTATCGCACCACAAGGCGCTGTGCGAATCGGGTTGTTTGGGAATATAGCCCTAATAAGGCGGTAAATTCCGTCCCCCATCAAACCAAACGTCATGTAAAATCTAGACTTTACCATAAAAAGTTCTAAATAATAAATTATGTGTCCCATATGGACTTAGAAAAAAAAATAAGACAACCATTTTATTTATTTTATATTATGTATTGTGCTTGAACTTTGTTACTAGAATCCAAAAAAAAAAGTATGTCCATAAAACATTCCCCAAGGTTGTTTAACAAATAACAATCCTCGTAACAAAATTGATTTTATATGAATTTTGGATTGTTTAAATGTTCCAATGGAATATTTTATAGAATTTAAGTAGTTAAGTTTATAAAATAAACTATAATGTCATATTTAAAAACGTTACAATAGGTTTATAGAACGTTTTAACAAGTTTTTTAGGACGCTTCTAAAATCAATTGTCCTATTAACTATTTTACATGAACTTGTTAGAAATGTCCTATAAATTCATCTTTTATAGGACATTTATGTTTATAGGACATTTTTTTCAAATAGTGTCATATAAAATAGCTAATATGATACATTATTTTAGAGTTTCCTAAAAAAATCTTTTTAAAACATTTTAAAGTGTAATATAAACCTATTGTAACACTTTTAAATGTAATGCTTTTTGGTTTACTCTTATAAAGTATTTTATTAGGATGTACTCTTGATCACTTTTAATCTCATGCTCATCCATGAATTGTGATTTAGAAGAGAATTGATCTTGTGCATTTCGATGCACCTTATTAATGTTAACATTCAATTAGTATGATTGAAGATGAAAATCTTTTGTCACGTTTCTTATCATAACTTTTTTTTCCTACTACAACCCACACTTGAAAAAGTATCGTTATAAATAATTATTACTTTAAATCATTATTTGATTCTCTGYGTTCAGAATTTTCTTTTTCTTGATGTGATCATTTTTGTGTGGGTCATTGGTTTCTTGTAGATGGATTCTTTTAATAATAAAATAAATAATTACAATCGGTCTGTTCTAGATGAATTTTTGTATTTGGAAAAAGTCTAAAAACAAAATTAACATTAGTATTTGAAATGATTAATTTTTTGGATAATTTTTTGAAACAAATAAATACTTGGATATTCCAAAGTCTATTTCAATAATTTTTTGAACTTTTTAAAACATGTTAGATACATTTTTATTACCTATACAACTAATTAATACGGTAAAATAATGAAAAAATGTTTTAAAAAAACCCAATAAACTTTCATATTTTGAATAATTAAGTTACTAGACATTTTCTGAAACAAATATACCAAAAAAATACTTATATCTACAAAGAAGTACTTACATTTAAAAAAGATTATTAATAAATTTATTTTAATTGAAAATAAAATATATCATGTCAGTGGTTTTTCAAATTTAAAAAATAAAAAAGGATAAAAAAGATTACTGATTAAATTTATTTTAATTAAAAATAAAATATAATTCGTATGTAATTTTTCAAATTAAAAAAAGCTAAAAAAGATTAAAAAAGATTACTGATAAAATTTATTTTAAACAAAAAAAAATTATTTCATTGGTGATTTTTCAAATAAAAAAATTGAAAATAATTTGGTTAAATTGTTGACGGATTAATGATAAAATTTAACTAAATACATAATTAATTAAAATTCGTCGATAATCCGTTGGTGAAATGATATCATCAACAAGATTCTAGCACGATCTTTCAGACTTATTAACATGTTACTGTGTTAGAGGTTTGATGGCGATCAAGTTAGTCATCAATTACATATAAGTAATCCATGCATATATACCAATGAATATTAGCGACGAATTTTAATTAATTATGTATTTAGTTAAATTTTATCGTTAATCCGTTAGTAATTTAATCAAATTATTTTCTATTTATTTAATTTGGAATCATCAATAGAATATATTTTATTTTTAATTAAAATAATTTCATTAGTAATCCTATTTAAATCTTTTTTGTTTTTTTTAATTTGAGAAACCACATACGAAATATATTTTATTTTTAATTAAAATAAACTTAATCAGTAATCTTTTTTTTTTAATTTGGAAAACCACTGCCAGAATATTTCTTATTTTAGTTAAAATAAATTTCATTAATAATTTTTTAAATGTAAGTACTTTTTGTACATATAAGTACTTTTTTGGTATATTTGTTTCGTTTTATAAATCTAGATTCTTTTTTTGTTCAAAAAAGGTTTAGGGACTTAGTCGTTCAAAATATGAACGTTCATTGGGTTTTTTTTCCCGACTTTTTCATTAATTTACTACATAAATCAGTTTTATAGGTCATAAAGATGTATCTAACATGTTTTAGAAAGTACAAGAAGTTATTTAACATGTTTTGAAATGTCAAAGAGCTTATTTGTTCCAAAAAATTGTCCAATAACTTAATTATTCCAAACACACTAAAATATATTGGGTTTTTTTTTAACTTTTCCCAAATAAATAATTACCAAAATGAGTTTGTAGTATGTATTGTTTGCACTTCATACTCGTCTTGAAAGGTGGCATGAAAATAGAATCAAATCTCTGAAGCAGACTGGCTTGAATTCATGTCATGCTTGAAGACTATCAAATAACTGAGGATTCAAACTGAATAAAAGAGAGCAAAATATTTTCCACGTAAGAGCTACTTAGAAGTATTTTACTTAAAGTTTTAGGAAGTTTTTAATTTTTAACTTCCAATAAAATGATGTCACCTCCTATGTTAAAGCAACCCCTCCGTCCTTTTTCCTTTGTGTTCGGATTAGAGGCAGGTCGGGGCGAGCCAGGCAAATCAGCCACGATCCCAAATAGTGATCTCGTAATAGCTCCTGGCATTATCGGTTCCGGTCTCAACCCGACCCAAAAACGAAGGCTCGATTAAGGTGTATGAAGCTTGGTTATGAGAATCGGTCTCGGACGGGATCATAATCGGTCCCACTTATTTATTTTTATTTTTTTTAAATTGATTTTTAACATATAAAAAATATTTTTTGAATAATTTGGTCAATCAAATACATTAACAAATACGTTTTATTGTAATTTGGTCAATCAAATACACTACAGAAATACATTTTTATATACATAAGTTGGTCTATCAAATATATTTTGAGAATATTTAATTGGATCAACGGAATACACTAAAAAAGTATGTTTTTAACGTGATACAAGTAAAATACACTTAAAAATACATTTTAGTCTTCAATTAAATACATTTAAAAATGCATTTAATATTAAATTGAAAAATATACTTAAAAGTACATTTTAAATAAAAAATCGTACCGGTTGGAGCAGGGCCTTGTTTGTGATGGAATATCGTAACCGATTCTTGACCGCCCGTCCCAGGTCGGTCTCGGTCGGCCCCGACCAATTTAGCTATCTCTAGGTCGGATGCTTGGTACAGTGTATTTGACAGGATATGATAGGAAATGAATCATCGTTTCATGTTTAGCAAGATTTTTTATGTAAGACAAATGAAAACACATTGAAACAAAGTGCAACAGCGTGCTCCACTTCACCCCATGAAATAAGTTGGAACAGACTTATGTTTACTAATATAACCTCACAATAAATCTTAATTCTTTTCTAAAATATCAAATACATCTTCCTATTTACATTTTATTTATTTTTTAATTTTTATTTACCGTATTCTATTCATATTTAAAATTTTCACTTTAATGTATTAAAAATACTATACTATTTCTACAGAGTTTCCATATTTTGATTAACTTATTGTATATATTAACAATATAGAAAAAGTATAAAATAAAAATTGAAAAATACATAAACTATTTATTTTAGTGTCATTTTAATCTTTTTGACGAAAACTTTCCAATGACATATCATGTTACATAAAATATTTAATTTAATTTAATTACATAATTAATCAAAATATATAAATAATTCATTTAAACGTAAATTGATCATTTTAAGTCTAGTTTTGCATTATCAAACGTTGAAGGATTGTTAGTCGTGTTCAATCGTGTCTCGATACCAAACACACCATTTACTCTTTCTCCACGAAGCGAGCGCGCACACCACTCTTGTATGGGGAAGTACCATACAATACAATACACACAAAGGGTTTTGTTTGGGGCATCGGAAGGGGAATATTCATCCTACGCATGCATACCATCTTCTTCTTCTTCATATCCCAATGATGTCACCATTTTGAGAGAAACACACAAAACAAAACATACATAAATTCATCTATTGATGCACACCACTCCTTCTCCTTGTGCTTTTAGATTCGATGAAAATTATATATTCCCTAAATAAGGCATAAGATACCTCTACTTTTGATACACACACGATCCCAAGGCGTATGTGTTGTCTGTGCATGCGTGTGACGCCTGAGCTCGCTATATATATATATATATATATATATATCAGGTCATAATAGGTCTTATTCTTCTTGATGAGTTTGAGTGGGTATAAATGATCGGATTAGATTATGTGAAACGATAATGTTGTTTTAAAATATGAAGCAAAAAGTTACTAAAAAGAGTCATTCAAGATGATGAAACCTCCTCCTCATTTTTATTCAAACCAAATATAAGATAATAATCCACTTTAATTCCAAATTCTCCCAAACCTACCTAATTCCACTAATCCGTGCACCTGTTAATCGACCATTAGAGCACTCATGAGCTCCTCGTCACATTCCATATCCATCATAAGCTCCGACCCGAAGCAAACTTCCACATCCATGCTCCCACCTCCCTCCCTTCCCGGATACATCGTTATCTTCCCCTCCCCCTTGTTCGCGCCTCCGCTTCGTGCCGCCACCGCTTTCCCCAATCCAAATTCGCACCCATACATGTCAAACCGTGGTGAGCTACCAACGTGTATGGCATTCCGATCAATTCCATGACTCATTTTAAATATCACCGGCCTTTTAATCCATGACTCCACCATTTCCTTAACCTTGCTATGATCGTGGTTCATCACCACCTCGTGTAACCGGAGAGCCGCCCACCCGAGGCCGTGAGCCATCAAATCCTCCACAGTTGCCGTTGCTCTCACTACTTGAACTGGGCTACCTAAGTAATAATCAGACAAAGGCGGATTCATCTTACGTCGGTTAGAAACCATCAATCTACAACTAGTTTGATCCTCCGGTGGTAGACGGCGGGCACGGGTAATACACCTCCATATAAGTGCGATCACTGCCTGTAAACTTGAGATTTTATCGGTATTGCATTCGGAGTTTGCTTTTGATTTGAGTTTGGAGACAGAGGGTGAGGAGAAATGGTAGAATCTCTCCTTAAATGGTGGAGGTTCGAATCGTTCAATAAATTGATCATGGTGGGTATACGGGAGGTTGATAATCGGGTCCGACTCATCCCATCGTCGGTGTACCGGAGGATGAGAGATTGATGCACGGTCTTTGGATCTGAAATTTTCACTCCAAACAGCCATGAACTGCCAAAAAGATGTTCCGTCGGCGATCAAGTGGTTGACGGAGCCGCCGATGAAGATTCCATCCACAAGCTCAGTAACCTGAATGGATAACAACGGCAGTGTGTGACCGTCGTGATTAATGGCGTTATTGAGATCAAAGAAGGAACGAACAACCAAGGGTACGTCGGGAGGCGTAAGGATGTCCGATACGGTGGCGTCCACCGTCGCATAAACAAACTTGGCACCAAGGCTATTTTCAGGGTCTAGGTAGATGACATAGGAAGGTGGGTTTTCTTGTATTCGAGTGGCTAAACGGGCGGCGAACGGATAGAAATGAGTAAGGGCGGCGGAGAGAGAGCGGCGAAGGTGATCCAAGAAAACAGGGATGGAGAAATCTTGATTTTCCGATGGTGGTGGTTTCGCAAATAGGAGACCTTTTTGGCTGTATTTGATGTTGAGTGAGAGTATCTCGAAAGGCGTGAAGTGAATGGGTTGCTTTTCCTCCGGCGAGAGGTGGTCGTCCGGCGGCTTGACGAAGCATTCTGAAATACGGGTTACAGTGGGTGAAGAAGTCATTTTTGCCCCAAATGAGCAGAGAAATGAAGTTTATGGATATATGTAGATCGAGAACACGAAGACAGGAAGGAACGCAATGGGAAAAAAATGATTTTAAAATGGAGAAAATGAGACCAGCTTTGTCGGATTCTTGAGTTGGACTTATAAAAAACAGATGATGATGTCAAGTACAATTATTGTCATTGTCCTTTTATGTTTCATTTTCTAGAAGGGGATGGCTAATGGCACACTTGTACATTGTTATTGGCACCCTTAATACTATTTAAATTATTATGTTTTTTTTGGGTTTAGTATTTTTTTGTCCTTAGTTATTATTGTTTTTTATTTTATTATTATTTTAGTTTATTTTAAAAATATATTAATTAGTATAAGTTATTGATTTAT